AAAGAAAGAAAGAAAGAAAGAAAGAAAGAAAGAAAGAAAGAAAGAAAGAAAGAAAGAAAGAAAGAAAGAAAGAAAGAAAGAAAGAAAGAAAAAGAGAGAAGAAAAGAAAGAAAGAGGGAAAAGATGATTTTTCTGCCCAGGGCCCAGGAGGGAATGGCCCCACCCCACGGGCTCCTATGGCTCTGAAGCAGCTTTTTAGGGAAATAGTGAAAGTTGTCACAATCCCTGGAGCTCCCCCAAACCCCAGGAGAGAATGACTCCTCCCCTTCCCAGTCTCACATTCCCCAGAGCTCCCAGGGGGATCCCTCCCCAGGCTGCCTGGTTTCCCTAGTACACCCCACACACCATCCAGCCCCTCCCCAAGAGCTATGTACCCGGAGAGCCGCTGATGGTGAGGCCTCTGAGCCCCTTCCTCAGCCTGCAGACGCTGGGCCCAGGCTGTGGCCTCTCCTGGCTGGGAGAGGGAGTCTTGATTGGGCACTAAGGCTGCTGGCCTGGCCTGGCCTGGCCTTGCGTTGGCTACCTGGGCACCGTGATTAAATCCCTACTCTCTCTGGCCCTAGTTCTCCCATTCCTACACAAAGAGGTTTGGGTTGATGTCCCCTGGTTACACACCAGAGTCTTTGGAGAGCTTTTCCATGTTTCCAACCCCTGGGTCTCTCCTCCAGAGAAACCAATACAGCTGAAGAAGGACCTGGGCCTCAGCTTTCTTTAAATGGTCCCCGGGCACAGCTGATGTGTAGTTCAGGACTCAGCGGGAATCATAGGGAACTTGGTGGAAGGAAGAGTCACAGCCCCTCTTAGGACTTCCTTCGATCAGACTCTAAACTGTAACAAGGTCCCAAGGTGACTCCTCTTGACTCTGAGATCAACAGACCCCAGGGAAGTGCTTCCTCACACCACTGCTGACAGTGTATGCTCAAGATGAGCGCCTTTCTGGTGGCAGTGACCTTTGGCCTACTGGACCAACTGCTTTTATGCAGGCCTGTGTTAGAAACAGACCCCGGGTAGGATGAGGACAGCCTCCCAGGAGTTCAGACCGTTGCTGGAAGGCCCTCGGGATGCACTGGGTTCAACTCTTTTTTTTTTTTTTTTTTTTTTTTTTTGGTTTGTTTGTTTTTCGAGACAGGGTTCTCTGTGTAGTTTTGGTGCCTGATCTGCATTTCGCTCTGTAGCCCAGGCTGGCCTCGAACTCACAGAGATCCTCCTGGCTCTGCCTCCCGAGTGCTGGGATTAAAGGCCTGTGCCACCACCGCCCGGCTCAACCTTTCTATTGTAGGTGCCCAGAGCAGAAAAGGCCTGGCCCAGAATGCCACAGCGGTTCAGTGGTAGGATGTAGGCTACCTCATCTGGGGACCGTTGCTTGGCCCCAGGCCAGTGCTCATCCCCACGAAGGGTCTGTCTTCACCTGAGTCCCCAGGAGTCTGCAGGGAGTAACCCCAATGCTTTACTTCATCACCGCTTAATCAGACACGGGGTGCGGAATGTGGTTTGGGGTCTGCGGGAGAAGATGCAGGGAGTGTGTAGACTTTACGGCTGAGTTTACACGTGCCTTTTCTGTGCAGGAAAGGAAGTGGCTGATCGGTGGTACAGTGAAATCAAGAACTACAACTTCCAGCAGCCTGGCTTCACCTCGGGGACGGGTGAGTGGCAGTGGGGCCTGGGCTGAACGCCGTCTTCCGAAGGTTGACTCTTTCCTCCTGCACTGGCTCATCCACAGCCCTCTGGTTTAAGTGCCCAGAAACCAAAGCTTCCTTTCCCCAGCACCTGCCCACCGATCCCAGACCTGTAGTCTTTCTTCATCTGAGGGTACCCAGGGTGCTGATCCTGCCCTCCCCCACCACCACTCCCGCAGACAGGTCAAAGTTCAGTGTGTTCCTGCAGTGTGTTCTCCTCACTGCAGCGTGTTCTCCTCATTGCAGTGTGTTCTCCTCATTGCAGCATGTTCTCCTCACTGCAGCATGTTCTCCTCACTGCAGCATGCTCTCCTCACTGCAGTGTGCTCTCCTCACTGCAGCGTGCTCTCCTCACTGCAGC